AAAAAATTATACGTCATTGATAGTTTTTAATAGTTAATTTACATCTAATATATATATATTCTTTTCATTTCAATTTATATGTTTTAGTTATAACACCAAAGAGTCAACAATATTTTATTTGAATATGATTTTTGAAAATGTATTTTTAGATATTTTGAATTATTAACTACCGTGGTTATTAGTTTTTTTTTATATATATATAATTTCTACGCAAGTTTTATTTCAAAAAATGAACGAATTTATATTTAAATTTACCGAGAACATTAGTTGAATTTATAACCTTCTTAATATTGTTCCCAAACGTTAATTTGTGGTCATGTTTTTTTTTTTTTAAAAAGCATTAAATGACCCTTTCCGCAAATGACCCGAAATCAAGAAAATGGATCCAAACTCAACTTATTCTCTTCTCTTCTCTCTCACTGTAAAAAAAGACGAAAAATAAATAAATTCCAACTTCCTTCAGCGTTGGAATTTTGCCAGTTCTCTCCGAGGGAAATAATTAGTATGTTTCTCGTTATTCTTCGTTAGATTCTCTCTACATATTGTATTGATTCTGCAATAATTATTAGAATATTGTAAAGCACGATTTTATAATTTCTATTTGTAAATTTTACAGGTCAATATGTGATAATTGCTTGAAGGTTTAATGATATTTAATTTTTCCTATAACATAATTGAGTAATTAGTCTAAAGATGTTCTAGTCTTAGCCTCGATGAATGATGATGATTTCTTCTCATATGTTCTAGTCTTAGCCTTGATGGATAGAGTTACTTAATACCTGTGGAGCCTCTATGGATAGAGTTACCCGATACCTGTTGCTTTGGGAGGTGGCGCAGGTTAAAAGAGGAAAGTATAAATTATCATAATTTTTGTCCAGAGCCAATATTTGAACCTTATTGGTTCTGGATTCTAGTACATGGCCTCAACCCTCAAGTGCAAGTAACTGAATTCTGAATTTAATTTTTGAGCATATTTAGTGATTCTTTTAGCACAGGTACAACGTTTAGATCAAAGCTACTATGTTATGCCGAATCCACATGTATGTACTACATCTGCTCTGCTGTTTTTAGCAGATGCTAACTCAGTACAAACACTGGCCTAATTGGTGAAGCGACAAGGTTTAAAAGATAAAACTCTCATTTCCTCATGAAAAATGTAATGACTGCATGAGAGCACAATTTTCATCAATCTGATGTAAGTGAAAATTCAGAAGCTATTCATATGAAAAATTGCCAGGTTTGTTTTCTAGTTATCAAACCTTAACTGTTGGTAAGTCTTTTCTGAAGTACTAGATTTCCAGCAATAGAAAGAAATATAAAATGATTTTTAGTGCTAGTCAAGATTTTGGAAAAATAGAAATTTCAGTGCTCTTTGAAAACTCAGCAAGTCATCAATGCTTTTCCAATGCAATAGAGTAAATCACAAAGACTGTGTCCAATCAGCATCTGGAGTACTAGTTTTATCAGGTATTACACACATCTGTATCTTAGGTACCAGGCACAGGATGTAAAAACAATGTTCAAATGTAGCAAAGTAAAATCAAGTATCATAGACGACATTGTTGTTGGAATGAATTTAGTAAATGAAGCAGTAAGGTGCAACCGATTCCCATTTTTGCCATTTGTGGTTCAAGCATTTGAATCTGCGTCTGATCTTCCACGATATGTTCATTCAGATATCTATTAGACAGGAGCTTTAAGCCTGCGAACTGTCATCTGCTGTTTCAGACTTTCTATCCTTGTCGAGATTGCCTGCAAAATTCATGAGTGGCAAGTGGAATTTTCTGTGTGAGAACTTTTCTACTTGGGTGGTTAAAGAGTCACTTCTGAACTCATGTGAATAATAAGTAAAAGATACATAGAGATAAATTTAAAAACGTATTGATTAGATTCCTTTGTACTTGTAGAGATGATGGAGACATTCTCTTCCTTCTTTTACTCTAGTCTCTATATGCTACTCTTACTACATGTTATGAATGCGATCAAGGAATCTGTTGTTTTGGGAAACTTCTTAGGAAATGTCAAAGATCATGATAGAACAATTATCATGATATGGCTACAATGTTGAGAATAATCTCTATTAACTTTTGTAACCGACCCCTTGTTCCCTATAGATTGTATTGTTCCCTTTTAGGTTAGTTGCAAAATGCTTTCCGCTTTCCTAAATTATTGTTCCTTCAATTAAAATCTTTCCAAAAAGAATTTATTGCTCTTTTTGTTTTTGAAATGCTTTTTGCTTTCCCTTAAATCAAAATTTGGCTTCTTTTCCTATTTATCCCCTTTTTAAAATTACACTACAAAAAATGTTGATATAAGTTTGGCACCTCTATAGAGCCTCTGTTAATACAACTCTCCTTGATTAAAAACAAAGTTATATGGAGATCATTTTATTATTCTACGAATCAACTTATGAGAAAAAAAATGAAAAATCACAAACACTATACTTGTCCAATTTATCTATGTTTTTCAATTTTCTTATGGTCAGAAATTTTGCAAAACATTTTCTCTAGGGTGTGGATAGTGGGAGCAGACTCGGAGAACTTCCCAGTCATGATGTGGTTACACCAAGGGTTGACTCTTAGTCCCTTTTTTTTCCGCTTTGGTTATGATGGATGTACTGACATGGCATATCCAAGATAGGGTGTCATGGTGTATGTTATTCGTAGATGACATAGTAGTGATTGATGAGACTCATAGTGGAGTTAATGCTAGGCTGGAGGTTCAGAGACAAACTCTGAAGTCTAAAGGGTTTAGGCTGAGCATGACCAAGACTGAATGCTTGGAATGTAAGTTCAGTGATGCTACACATGAAATTGGTGTGGAAGTGAGGCTTGACACTCATGTCATCCCCAAGAGAAGATGTTCAAGTGTATGGGGTCTTTAATTCAAGCTAGTGTAGAGATCAATGATGACATCACACATTGTATTGGTGTGGGATGGGGGAAATAAGATGGCCTCCGGAGTCTTATGTGTTAAAAAGGTACTGCCAAGACTTAAAAGTAAGTTCTACAACTCTTTGTTTCATATTATTTTGTTGTTGCTATTGCTCTCATTTCTACATTTCCTTTTCCTAGCTGCTTGGATATGCTTTATTTTAAGCTGAGGGTCTATCAGAAACAACCTCTTTATCTCTATGAGGTAGGGGCAACGTTTGCGTACACTTTACCCTCCCTAGACCCACTTGTGGGATTACACTGGGTTTGTTGTTGTATTTTCTCTAGGAAAACAAGTTCCTAAAAACGAGGAAAATGACTTCCCTAGTAGAATTTGGGAAACAAGTTCCTTAAATGTCATTTCACACTAGCCTAATCCCACCCTCCAACACCTCTAGCCCCATAGCCCCCATCCCTTGCCATCCAAACCAACCCAATATTGTTTGCTTATATATACAAATACTTTTGGGACAATGTTTTCTGCATATATACCTGAACATCAAAAATTAAGTAAGAAAACTACTTATTTTCAAGGATAACATTTTCCTTACCAAACACACCTAACATGAATTCAACTTTTCTCCCTGCATAGCAAAACTAGTCAGTAGAATTTTCACAATGGGAGTATGATTCACATTTTTTGTGTGTGTAGATATACCAGCACTTGTCTTTCAAATATGTGATGTTCGTTTGATTTCAATTTTGTAGAGCTTTCTAAAGGTGATTTATTAACCTAAACAAACTTAAGCAGATATGTACCTTGGGTTGTGGAGAGCCGTGGTCGTCCTCTTGGCCTCTTAACTGGGCTTCCTAGTATTGCTCCCTCTCTCTGAGAATGTAGTTTCTGGCCGGAGACCTTGAGCAATGAATGTCAAGCACTAACCAAATAAGGAACCTCAAGTAGTTATGAAATATGTAAGGATGTACCAAATCACAAAAGAGGTTTAGCATATACTATTACCTAAGTTTCTGTGACTATAATCCATACATTAACATTAGTTTGAAATTCACAATTTGATTTCTAGACTGCAAATAAGATTTGTCAATGAGGAAACACTTGTATATTTGTATTTTCATATATATACCAAAAACAGAACAGAGGTGGGCATATCAATTCTTAGATAAAAGCCAAAGAGATGTTTGGAAGAAGAAGTTTCTTAAGAATAAGAAGTGCATTGTATCCGTAGACTACATTACCATTGTGTTTCAAAATCATATGTTTTGCTGTTGATGCTGATAATGATTATTTTGACAAGTAAAGGAATTTTATATGGTGTGTGGAGCGACAAGAAACTACACGTACATTAGCTATTTTCTATGTTGTCTACTCTGACCTTAGTTGTAGTGTCTTATCGACTTGTCGTTATAACTTAAAAGGAGATTGAATAGATTTTTTGGTCGACTTAGTTTTAAAACTTGTTGTAGTTGATCATACCTTATCCTGAAGCTGATATACCTATTTCTTCAATAATCAGACCTTCATCTCCGTATGAAGAAGAAAATCCAATAGTTGTAGCATTTACAGAACAATGTATTGACATACCCTTGATATAGTATCCATATGATGTGGGGCGAGTCTATTTTCACGTGCAATTGCTTTCCCCCTCTCATTTCCAGTAGTTTCATTTTGCACAGCCACATGATCCAGTATATTATTGTTTATCCTGAAACAAAGTATAATGCAAGACATAACAGTTGTAATGACAAGCATATGTAAGTCAAATTCAATTTGAGATGTCACAATGTAAGTCTACTGTGAAGTCCTCACAAACTAACAAACTTGTAGGTAAGCACACGGTGATAGACATCGGAATTGACATATTAAATGCACCTAAAAAGCAGAATTTGCCATATCTAATTCATGGAAATTCCATCCAATAAAACGGAATGTTCCCCGGACCCTGCACATAGCGGTAGCTTTAGCGCACCGGGCTGCCCTATTGAATCGTATGCATGCATCTCAAAATTCACTTACAGATATGGATTTTCTACAGGAACATTCATTGAGGAAGAGGCATTATCTTCTGCCATTGAAAATTGAAACGTCGAGCAATCTGTAGTAGTTGTTGGTGATACGAGCAACATAGCTCCAAGACCAATCTCATTAGGAGGAATGTATTTGTTCCTTGCATAAATTAGAGTAACATCTTCATCCCCGTCTGGTATATTTTCAAATTCTAGTTCCTGTAGATTGTTGTAAAGTTGCCTCTGGAGTCTTTCGACAGGTGACAAAATGCGTTGTCTACGCTCTGATCTCTTTCTTTTTGGGACATTGTTAGGATTCCAGAAAGGATCTTTGTCTGCTTCTCCCAACAAAAGGTAAATGTTAGTGCACATAAAACAATAAGGTATTAATACAATAGATTTTTTTATTTTGGTCAAGCTAGTATTATTTGTATGGTTAAAGTATAGTTGGACCGGTCAGTTCATATCTTTATTGAAAATCCAAATTACCTGAAATTTGTCAATTTCAGTTCATTGTGTAAACTGTAAAGAAAAGTTAGTTATCAAAATTTAGGGGAGACACTATAATTAATGGCCTATGAGCAAGAAAGAAACCGAAGATTGTGCTTGCAGAGTATCACATGGTAATTACTTCCCTACGGCTTATTTGGTAAATCCTGAATGTGATTTGACATTACATAATTTGACAAGCACATCACAATAATCGGAAAACGAAAGGAATTTCCTGCATAAAAATAAATCCAAGTGTCGTGAATCTTGATACATGCTTATCAAGTTGTCTTAGAACTCATGGTGTAAGTGATTCTTTTGAGAATTAGACACCAACAAAAAATAACCACTTGGACAGTGGGAGAATGCTGATAAAATTTTCTGTCTCACCGTTAAATTTGTTGTGTAGGGTCTGTAGATTCTTTTCCTGCTTTCCGCTCCCTTTTTGGGGGTGGGGGTTCAAATTTGTCCATTTCTAATCAATAGAATAAGAAAAGTTTGTAATTGGAATCATAATAATATTGGGTGAACTGTTTCTTCCTTTTCTTTTGAATCAGAATACTATGCACTGCAGGATTACTTTTTGGGAACATCTACATTGATTTGGTTGCCTAAATTCATCTATCTCATATTTTTCTTTGAGACTAAAGGCTCGTTTGGTACCGAGGGATAAGGGATAACTAATCTTGGGATTAATTTTAGGATGAGCTTATCCCATGTTTAGTTGGGATATCACACGGGATAACTAATCTTGGGATTAATTTTAGGATGAGCTTATCCCATGTTTAGTTGGGATATCACACGGGATAACTTATCCCGGAATTAGTTATCCCGGGATTTTAGTGTTATTTTTATCCCACATTGAGGGTGGGATAACAATCCCAGGATAACTCGTTCCCCAACCAAATGTGCCCTAAGAGTTTTGCGCTTACTATCATGCAAAACTGAAGAAAGAAATTGAGTAGGAAGATATTAGTTTTCCATTTTTTTTAACCTGTACTCTTAATGAAGGATTTGATTCGAACATGCATCATATTTGCTGAGACAACTTAAAGTGTTCTCTCTATATGTGAAAGTATTTTACCATTTGTTTCTTCCATCTGCATGCAGTTAACTGAGGATGATCCTGCTGAAACTAAGCTTGGTATGCTATTCATTTCCTCTTCAAGACAAGCTGAAGATCCCTCCTGTCCAGAAGCCTCTACTCCAACTTGTAGCCTTTGGTTATCTCGAGTTAAGAGACGTGGATTCATCTCAGCAGGTAACTGATTGCTCTGTGTTTCACGGGCATGTCTGGGAATATAGTTCTGTAGTGTCCCCCTAATGCGCCACCTTGATCCACATGCATTGCAGAGCACTGGTTTTTCAGCTGGCCCAGGTCTCCAATGGCGGGTTTCTGTTTGAGTTCAAAATTAATTAGTGTTTAAACTGGGATAAATATGAATAAAATTCAACGAAAGGACAATGATCATTGACAATTAAGATTTTCTATAAAAAAGGTATAGAATGTATTGCATGAGAGCGAAAGCGTCATAAACTAGAGTATGTGTAAATTAAAAACAAGAGAAAATTTCCTTGTGTTAAACATGCATAGACTTTTAGGATGCTTCAACTGTTTCTTTACTCACATTTTCATCACCATGTCAAGGAACCATACAAAAAAGTTGAACTTTGAGTTTGATGGTAGAAAGATTGAAAAAGATTTGCTTGATATGTTGAGGAACCATGCAAAATAGTTAATCTCTTGACAGACTGCATTTTTTTGCATGAAATTTTAAGGAGGAAAGTTACCATCTTAATCGACAGTAACTACGGTATAATATTCAACAGGGACTCTCTCTCTCTAGCGCTCAACTGTAAACCCCCCTCCGCGGTGGATCTGCACGCCACTGAACTGACTACTGGCGACCATGTACGATTTCCTCCAGAACACTATGTGTAAGTCTTTCTTGTTGTCCCTAGACTGCTCCGCTTGGGTAACCCCTCAAGATCCCTAACTCCTCTCTTGTTGCTTTCTTGATGGAGTCAATTGTCTTAGCCCACATATTATCTGCGTCCTCGCTAGCTCCATTGCCTTTTTTGTCATCTTAAACCTCTCACTATTCTTCCTTGTCTAAGCTTTCACTAACATCTTGTAAGCAACCTTCTTGGCTTTCATTGTTCCTTGGACCTCTTCATTCCACAAACAATCCCTTTTGTGCCTGTCTGGGTAACCTCTCGAGACCCCCAACACCTCTCTTGTTTTTTCTCTGATGTAGGCACTACTCCCTGAAATCCTCAAAGCCACTAACTTTTCTCCAATTTCCTAAGTATTGGCTTCAATCAGGACTCTCATTAAATCCTTGGTGGGCATATGCGGTCCTCTTCTTCTTCATCCTATTGATTTCTATATCCATAACCACAAGCTTATGTTGGGTTGTAAGATCCCCTCTCCTGATCCAGTCCTTGCATAAACCTCTATCACATTTTCTAAGGAGCAAAGAATGTATCTGAGTCTTAGCCACCACCCTACAAAAGGTCACCAAGTGCTCCTCCCTCTTCTAGAAACTGGAATTAGCTATGATCAACTCGATAACTTTCACGAAGTTTAAAAGCATAACTTCTCCATTTCTATCCCCAAAGCCGAAAGTGCCTTGTACATCATCATATCATCTCGAAGTGGTCCCTATGTGACCATTAAAATCCCCTCATAAAATTAGTTTCTCAGTATGCGGGATAACTCTCACAACCTTGTCCAACTCCTCCCAGAACAAAGAAGTTTTTTTTGACCTCCTCGTCCAAACCTGTTTGCTGCACATATGCACTAGTTACGTTAATAGTTAGCCCTCCCAAAACTAGCTTAATGAACATTATCTTATCATTCATCCTCCTAATCTCTACCGCTTGCTCCTTGAGTTCCTTGTCTATAAAATGCCTACTCTATTTCTACTCCTTGATCTTCTTGAGTACCATAACTTAAATCCATCTACATCCCTAGCCTTGGTTCCTACCCATTTGGTTTCTTGAACATAAGCTATATTGATCTTCCACTTCATAAGAATCTTCACTAACTCTATCGGCTTCCTCGTCAATGTCCCTGTGTTTCAAGACCCAACTCTCAACCTCTAGGATCTCCCTTGGTACCCTTACCACCCCTGCCCCCAGCCTCCCACTGCCAATCAAGTACATGACCATAAACTACATCAAACCCTGAAGCCATTTACGCCAGTTATAGAAAAATCAAGTGTACAATAAACAACAAAAAAGGGGCAACCCTCAACAAATACCCTAAATCTTAAAATTGACAGTTACACAATACAATGACGAAAATAAATAGAAGCAATAAACTATTGAAAAGATGTTGTTCAAAGTAGGAACCAAAAAATGCAGTAGTATTTATAAGGGTGCAGCAATAAATTCACGAACGCAATATCAGATTAAGGAAATCAGTTAACAAGAAAGCAAGAATAAGGGGCTGCACAATCTGTTAAGGAAAAATCAGATTTAGACAGGTGAATCTAGGATTTGTAGAACATTGGTGCACCACTAAAAAAAGAAGGAAAAAATGTATTGAGTGCCAACATATAATATTATTTAACCAAGTGATTCAAAGTCCTCTTAAGTAAATAACTAAACATTTAATCAAGTGCATCATTTAACCTTCTTGTAGTATGGGTGCCAACATATAATATTATTGGTTGCACCGGGGATCGACCTTTAGCCTGTTCCTTTTTGTCTTAGTGATGGATGAATAGACACGATATATTCAATGAAAGGTATTGTGGTTTATGCCATTCGCAAATTGACATAGTATAGAATAACGAGACACGGGTGGAGTTAACGAAAAACTGGAAGTTTTGAGACAGATCATAGAGACTAAAGTTTTCAGGTTAAGCAAAACTAAAACAAAGTATTTCGTGTGTAACTTTAATGACGTAACACTTGAGGCAGAGGTGGAAGTGAGGAACGACTCACAAATCATACCCAAGACCAAGAGAGGAAACTTCAAGTATCTTGGGTCCATTATTATAGGAGACAGAATGATTGATGATGTTTCACATCATATTGGAGTAGGGTGGGTAAATTGAAGGCACACATCCAGGGTACTTTGCGATAAAAATGTGTTGCCATGGCTAAAAGGTATGTTCCATCAAGTGGTGCTTAGACCTACATTGTTGTTTGGGGCACAATGCTTGTCAGTCAAGAACGACCACGTTCAGAAGATGAATGTAGGAGAGATGAGAATGCTCAGATGGATTTGTGCGCGTACTAAGAGAGATTAAATTAGGAATGAAGTTATATTGGGCAAGGTGGGAGTGACCTATAGAGGTAAATAAGGGGAGGTTCATGCTTATGGTGCATGTAAAAACCCTAGGTAGTGGTGAAGAGTGGTGTTTTGGGGTACATCATCTAGAACCTAAGGACGATAGGTGTCAAAAGATTCAATAGATGGGAACTAAATGTGCATGTATGGAACGGATTGGGGACCAAATCTACAATTTATCCTAAATGACCTCAATTCCTGTTAGACTAATGGCAGATTTACTGAAAATTAATTAACATTTGGCTCGAAAGATGAGAAAATTAAAGTACTCTGATTTATTTTTAACAGATGCACCATTTAGGGAAATTAGGGTATTTAGTGCTTCATGCATGTGAGTCTTCAAAATTTAATTGCTGAACATCAGGCACATAAATCATAAGCATAACTGAATCAAGTATCCCGTAAAGCATGAAATTATTGATAAACATAAAAGATGGGATATAGGTGGTGAATAGAACTTACGCTTGATGCCACAATGGTGACATGGACCTTGTCTCACCATAAGATCTGATTATGAATGATTCAGTTCAAATCAGGTTGAATTTGCTGCTGCTAACCATTAGGGTTCAATTTGCTCTCAAAATCTAAAATGTCTGAGTGAGGTGACGGGTCACAAGATATATAGACAGATAAGATTTGGTAGACTACAGCTGGTCCTTTATATGGAAATAGATGAATTATGATAGATTTGTCATTAACTTCTATCTATTCTGAATTATTCTTTTTCCCCTCACGACAGCTCACCAACTTTGATTACGGTAATTTCTCAACTATTTACACTATAACTCCAATGAGAGAAGTCTTAGATTCTCTATCAAATGAAAAGGGGGTTGTGATTTGGGCCGTGGTGTGGGTGGGGTGAATGCTGGATTTGATGAATCTTCAAAATTTTTGGCCTTTAATCTAGTGGTCAAGGCTTATTAAGCAATGAATCTTAAGTCAAGGAAGTGTTAAATAGTTTCAAGATGATAATTCAAATATCTAAGGGTGAGAAAATAAAAGAGTTTTCAAATAATAAGGATGTATAATGCAATTTTTGCCTGCGATTGTGGAATCAAATTAAGTATTGAAAAATCAAAGGAAGGCCCTCAGATTACATTACTGAGAGCAGATCCAGAAAAGAATGACTACATTCAATTTATTTCCAATAATGCTTTTTTACATCCATTTCCCCTTGCACTAGTACAATAATCAAATAGATTGTTTTGCCTAAATATAAGATGGTTTCATTAATACTATGCAGGTGAGAGTTGAAGTCCATACAGGTGGCTCCGTAACTGATAATTGGATAAATTTCTTATTTGGTGAGTATGCCTCAACTTGTGAATTAAATTGAGAAGATACATGTATTAACATAGAGCTGGCTATTTCCTTGGAAATTTTCTTTAAAACTTTGGCTCCTTGATTCTGATATTCTGGTGCACCCGAAAACCACAGTACTGTGAGGTTTGCAAAAGCTCAAGCATCTTAAGGCAAAGTTGGCGCAGTAAAAAAGGGTTTTAGAAAGAACAAACGACGTTTGTTTGCTTATCAGGACAAAATTGTTTTCTAGAAGAACAAACAAACATTTTCAAAAGAAAAGAAAACAAATAAAATCTTTTTGGCCCCCAAGGCCTAGCTCAAGTGGCAAAAGGTGGAGGATTTGTGGCTTAAGTCGCAGGTTCAAGCCCCACACCATGCAAAGCGAAACCCGGTATTTAAGTGGAGAAGGTTAGAGGGGCGGGCCCATTATCCACCGAGTTTAGAAGGTTGTGATTGGTCCAAAGGGCGGGTCACAAACGGATTTCTCGGTTATAAAAAAAAAAAAGAACTTTTTGTTGGTTTTGTTTTACTCAAACCAAAATTGAACCAACTTCTACATTAGCCCCCAAATTCTAAATATTACCACTTTGACCCTCTTCTTGTGAATGAATTTACTGTTTGTAACCTTCTTTTCCAGAAAGAAATGAAAAGAAAATCAGTATCCAAAAATTTCCCAATAGACTGTTCGAACACACCTTAGTGAGTTGCCAAATCATGAATGTTCTCATGTTTTTCTTGGCAGTTTTAATGTCAATTTAAGAGGTCCTTATCTCAACATTAGTTCTGAAAACTAGACTCATAATTTTTTGGTAAGATGATATTGACTCATCTTAAAAAGATTTCCTTGTTCTTGAAATGCAGATATCCTATTATGGTCTTAGTAACTGTTTTATTGTTTAATCGACTTGGTTATGAATGTTTCCTTTTTTAGGTGAGAGTTTCTCTGCTACTGAGATGCAGCAACGACACATATTTTTTCCATCTTACCATGCTTGCGCATTTATATGCCAACATTGACAGAATTTCATGTATTTATCCCTTTATGGCATTAGAGGGATTGAGGAAGATGAGGAGCCCAACATCTTTTCAAATAATTTTTTTGCCCCTTTTCTTTCTAATTGGAACTTTATTCAAGATTCCGTATTGAAATTATTTTTTATTCAAGATTCAGTATCCAAGACCGGAGAATTTCATTTTAAGACAATTTAGGAGAACCCAAGAACTCGCCCATATAATTATGTCAAGTAGAAATTTCCAATCCAAGCAAGAATATTACTGCAATTATCTTTTGATTGTAGTATTTTGGTCAGTGTTTATTTGATGGTGTGGAGTATGCTAAGTTCTTTATTAGAGGATGCAGCTATTAGGTTGTGAATAAAACCCTATTTGGTGGGTAACAATAATTTGCTGCTTTCCTGGTTAGAGAAATAGGGTTTTAGAAGGAATAATATTTTCCACCCTCAGTTCCAGTAGTTTCATTTTGGATAGCCACATGATCCATTATGTTATTATTTATTCTGAAACAAAGTACAATGCAAGACATTGAAGTTGTAATGACAAGCTTATGTAAATCAAATGTCCTTTGAGATGTAATTCTACCACGAGTTCCACAAAAACTAACAAACTTGTAGGTAAGCACATGGTGATAAACATTGGAATTAACATATTAAATGCACCTAAAAAGTAGAATTTGACATATCTAATTCTTGGAAATTCCATCCAATAAAACGGAACCTTCCCAGGACCCCCACACATAGCGGGAGCTTTAGTGCACCGGGCTGCCCTATTGAATCTTATGCATGCACCTCAAAATTCACTTAGAGATTTGGATTTTCTCGGGAACATTCATTGAGCAACAAGCATTATCTTCTGCCATTGGAGATAGAGACGTGGAGCGTTCTGTAGTAGTAGTTGGTGATACGAGCAGCATACCTCCAAGACCAATCTCATTAGGAGGAATGTATTTGTTCCTTGCATAAATTAAAGTAGCATCTTCACCACCGTCTGGTATGTTTTCAAATTCTGGTTCCTGTAGAATGTTATAAAGTTGCCTCTGGAGTCTCTCGATAGGTGCCAAAATGCGTTGTGTAAGCTCTGATCTCTTTCTTTTTGGGACACTGTTAGGATTCCAGATAGGATCTTTGTCTGCTTCTCCCAACAAAAGGTAAATGTTAGTGCACATAAAACAATAAGGTATTTATACAATAGAATTTATTTTGGTCAAGCTAGTATTATTTGTATGGTTAAAGTATAGTTGGACTAGTCAGTTCATATCTTTATTGAAAATCCTCAATTTTAGTTCATTGTGTAAATTAAAGTTAGTTCTTAAAATTTAGGGGAGACACTATAATAAATGACCATTTAGCAAGAAAGAAACCAAAGATTGTGCTTGTAGAGTATCATATAGTAATTACTTCCCTGCGGCTTATTTGGTAAAATCCTGAATGTGTTTTGACATTACATAATTTGACAAGAACATCACAGTAATCGGAAAACGAAAGGAATTTCCTGCATAAAAATAAATTCATGAGTAGTGAATCTTGATACATGCTCATCAAGTTTTCTTAGAGCTCATGGTGTAAATGATTCTTTTGAATATTAGATACCAACATAAACAACCACTTGGACAGTGGAAGAATGCTGATAAAATTTTCTGTCTCACGGTTAAATTTGTTGTGTATGGTCTGTAGATTCTCTTCCCCTGTTTTCCGCTCCTTTTTTTGGTGTGGTTCAAATTTATCCATTTCCAATCAATAGAATAAGAGAAGTTTGTAATTGGAATCAATAGTATTATTGGGTTAACTGTTTCTTCCTTTTCTTTTGAATCAGAATACTATGCACTGCAGAATTACTTTTTGGTAAGGTGCATCTACAATGATTTGGTTGCCGAATTTCACCTATCTCATAATTTCTTTGTGACTAAGGGCTCGTTTGGTACGAAAGATAAGGGATAACTAATCTTGGGATTAATTTTAGGATGAGCTTATCCGATGTTTAGTTGGGATAAGATCACAGGATAACTTATCCCGGGATTGTAGTGTTATTTTTATCCCACATTGAGGGTGGGATAACAATCCCGTGATAACTCGTTCCCAACCAAACATGCCCTAAGTGCTTTGCGATTACTATCATGCAAAACAGAAGAAAGAAATTGGCCGGAAATTGAGTAGAAAGATATTAGTTTCCACTTTCTTAATACTTGTACGCTTAAGAAAGGATATGATTCAGAATATGCATCATATTTGCTGAGACAAGTTATGTGCTCTCTATATATGTGGAAGTATTTTACCATTTGTTTCTTCCATCTGCATGCTCTGTGTTTCTCTGTTTGCATGTCTGGGAATATAGTTATGTAGTGTCCCCCTAACGCGCCACCTTGTTCCACAAGCATTGCAGAGCACTGGTTTTTCAGGTGGCCCAGGTCTCCAATGGGGGGTTTCTGTTTGAGTTCAAAATTAATTAGTGTTTAAACAAAAGCACAATGATCATTGACAACAAAGATTTTCTATAAAAAAATGTAGAGAATGTATTGCACGAGAACGAAAGTGTCATGAAACTAAAGTATGTATAATATTAAAAACAAGAGGAAATTTCCTTGTGTGAAACATGCATTGAGTTTAAGGATGCTTCAACTGTTTCTTTACTCACATTTTCATCACCATGTTAAGGAACCATACAAGAAAGTTGAACTTAGCCATAACCACGAGCTTATGTTGGGCCGTAAGATCCAGTCATTGCATAAACCTCTATCAAATTTTCTAAGGAGCAAAGAATCTAGCCGAGATTTAGCCACCACACTACAAAAGGTCCTCCCTCTTCGAGAAACTGGAATCAGCTATGATCATCTCTATAGCTTTCGCGAAGTTTAAAAGAAAACTCCTCCATTTCTATCCCTAAAGCCGAAAGTCCCTTGTACATCATCATATCCTCTCGTAGTGGTCCCTATGTGACTTCTAAAATCCCCTCAAAAAATCAGTTTCTCAGCACGCGGGATAACTCTCACAACCTAGTCGTACTCCTCCCAGAACAAAAAAGTTTTTTTTGACCTCCTCGTCCAAACCCGTTTGCTGCACATTAACTTATCATTCACCCTCCTAATTTCTACTGCTTGCTCCTTGAGTTCCTTGTCTACTAAAAGCCTACTCTATTTCTACTCCTTGATCTTCTTTAGTACCATTACTTAAATCCATCTACATCCCTGACCTTGGTTCCTACCCATTTGGTTTCTTGTACACAAGCTTTATTGATCTTCCTCTTCATAAGAATCTTCAGAAGAATTCCAGATGTTTTGAGAGCTTAGAGAATGATGTGCACAAGATCAAGTTGAACTTCATCTTACTGCAATGTTTTTTGTGTAATCAAATTTACTCTAATGATACTGTGTCTATCATAGATGTTCTAGATTCTTTATAGCTAGAGAGGAAAGACACTAGAGCTCTATTGTAAATATGGTTTCAGTACTACCCAAGTACTGTTTTGATCCTTGAAATGATACAAAGTTACTGATTTTATAAAAAAAAAATCTTCACTAACTGTAAAAACCCTAGGGAGTGGTGAAGAGTGGTGTTTTGGGGGGTACATCATCTAGAAAGTAAGGACGATGGTTGTCAAAAGATTAAATAATTGGGAACTAAATGTGCATGGATGGTAGGAATTGGGGACCAAATCCCCAATTTATCCTAAATGACCTCAGTTCCTGTTAGACTAATGGCAGATGTACTGAAAATTAATTAACATTTGGCTCGAGAGATGAAAAAAGTAATGTACTCTATGTTTTATTTTTTAACAGATGCACCATTTTATGGAAATTTGGATATTTCGTGTTTATGCATGTGAGTCTTCAGAATTTATTTGCTGAGCATCAGGTAAATAAATCTTAAGCATAACTGAATCAAGTATCCTGTAAAGCATGAGATTATTGATAAATATAAAAGATGGGATATAGGCGGTGAATAGAACTTACGCTTGATGGCACAATGGAGACATGGACCTTGTCTACCCATAAGATCTGATTATGAATGATTCAGTTCAATAAGGTTGAATTTGCTGCTGCTAACCGTTAGAGTTCGATTTACTCTCAAAATCTAAAATGTTTGAGTGAGGTGATGGGTCACAGTATATATAGACAGATAAGAATTTGGTAGACTACAGCTGGTCCTTTTATGGAAATAGATGAATTATGATAGATTTTTCATTAACTTCAATTTCTTTCGAATAATGTTTTTTTACATCCAGAAAAGAACTACTACATTCAATTTATTTCCAATAATGCTTTTTTACATCCATTTCCCCTTGCACTAGTACAATAATCAAATCGACCATTTTGCCTAAATATATGATGGTCTCATTACTACTCTGCAGGTGAGAGTTGAAGTCCATACAGGTGGCTCCGTGACTGATAATTGGATAAATTCCTTATTTGGTAAGTATGCCTCAACTTGTGAATTAAATTAAGAAGATACAGGTATTAACATAGAGCTGGCTATTTCCTTGGAAATATTCTTTAATACTTTGGCTCCTTGATTTCTGATATTCTGGTGCACCAGAAAACCACTGTACTGTGCGGTTTGCAAAAGCTCAAGCATCTTAAGGCAATGTTGCCCTAGTAAAAAAGGATTTTAAAAAGAACAAACCACGTTTGTTTGATTATATGGACAAAATTGTTTTCTAGAAGAACAAACAAACATTTTTAAAAGAAAACAAAACAAAAAAAAAACTTTTGTCGGTTTTCTTTTACTCAAACCAAAATTGAACCAACTTCTACATTAGTCCCCAAATTCTAAATATTAACAATTTGACCCTCTTCTCGTAAATGAATTTACTGTTTCATAACCTTCTTTTCCAGAAAGAAATGAAATGAAAATCAATTTCCAAAAACTTCCCAATAGTTTGTTTGAGCAGACCTTAGTGAGTTGCCAAATCATGAATGTTTCTCTTGGCAGTTTTAATGTCAATTTAAGAGGTCCTTATCTCAAAATTAGTCCTGAAAACTCGATTCACAATTTTTTGGTAAGATGATACTTACTCATCTTAACAAGATTTCCTTGTTCTTGAAATGCAGATATCCTATTATTGTCTTAGCAACCGTTTTATTGTTTAATCGACTCGGTTATGAATGTTTTCTTTTTTAAGTGAGAGTTTCCTGCTACTAAGATGCAGCAACGACATACTTATTTTTTCCATCTTACCATGCTTGCACATTTATGTGTAACCATTGACAGAATATTGTGTATCTACCATATGGATTGTTCTTTATTTCATGCTTTTTTAGTTTTACCATGCTTGTGCATTTATATGTCGCATTTGACAGAATTTCGTGTATCACATGGATTTTTCTTTGTCATTCTTTTTCCATCTTACCATGCTTGCGCATTTATGTCCCCATTGACAAAATTTCGTGTATCCTAGCCATACGGAGTTTTCTTTTTGTCATGCTCACTGACTTCCAAATAACAACCACTATTTATGCCTCAGTTCAAGCAAGTTGGGGTGACTCTATGAATCTTTGTTATCTTGCTTCATTAAAGATCATCTCATCATGCTTAGTGATGTAAAAATATTTATTTCCTATTTAAGATTACTAATGTATACACATGCATAGAAGCGAGGGTTTTTACCCTGCGCGCACCCAAAGGGTTGCGGATGCGAGTTTTCCTTGTCATAAAAAAAATGTATTACACATGCATATTACATAATATATAGAATATCACTTTAACTTTTGAACGCTTGTATGTAGAATTAGGGGAAAAAACAGGGAAGAAATTGTACAAGCTAGCCAAGGCGATGGAGAGGAGGGCACGTGACGTGCATCAAGGATGAGGTCGACGAAGTATTGGTTTAGGAGACACTTATTAGACGAAGTTGATAGTCATACTTCTATATACTCTTGAATGAATCGGAGGACATTCTGGTGGGAGATATAGTGCACTCCGAGAGGTTTCACGATTTTGGGTATTGTAGGTGTATAAAGGTTGAAAAGGTTAAGGGTGCTATTCGTAGGATTCACAGGGAAGAGCGAACGGTCCAGATGAGATTCCGATGGAATTTTGGAAGACGGTGGGTAGGACATGTATGGAGTCATTGGCTAGGTTGTTTAATATTGTTTTTAAGACCGTGAGAAAGGCAAAAGAATGGATGTGGAGTACAATGATCCATTTGTACAAGAACAAAGGTGACATTTCTTAATCGCAACAACTATAGGGGTATCAAGCTCCTAAGCTACATTATGAAAGTTTGGGAGAGGGTGGTAAAGATGAAGGTTAGGAGGGGTATGTTTATTTTCGAGAATCAATATAGATTCATGTTAGGGCGCTCGACTACAAAAGTCATTCATTTTTTAAGGAGATTGGTGGAGCTGTATAGAGAGCGGAAGAGGACTTGCACTTGGTGTTCATTTACCTAGAAAATGCTTACGACAAAGTCCTAAAAGAGGTCTTATGGAGATGCTTGGAGGCTAGAAGCTTAACTGTGTTGTATGATCAAGGATATTTATGTTGGAACTAAGATCAGAATAAGGACATAGAGAGGAGACTCAGAGAACTTCCCAATTGTGATGGGGTTGCACAAGGGATTAACTTTTAGCTTGTTTTTATTTGCTTTGGTGATTGATGAATTGACACGGTACTAAGGTGAGGTGCCATGGTGTATGTTATCTGTGGATGACATAATTCTAATTGATGAGACTCGCGTAGGAGTTAACGCTGAGCTATAGGTTTGGAGACAAACTGCAGAGTTTAAAGGGTTCAGGTTGAGCATGATCAAGACATAATACTTTGAGTGCAAGTTTACTGACGTAACCATGAGACTCACATGGAAGTGAGGCTTGATACCAGGACATCCAAAAGAGAGGAAGTACCAAGTATCTTGGGTCTATTATCTAAAGATACGGGAATGATATCACACATCGTATTGTTGCAAAGTGGATGAAATAGAGGTTCGCTTTTGAAGTCTTATTTGATTAAGAGAAGGTGCCACCAAAACTTAAAGGCATGTTCTATAGAGTTTGACCAACTTTGTTGTGTGGGGCGGAATGTTGGACAAGATATCGCTTTTCTTCCCCGAAGCGAGGCATAGAAGAAAAAGTGTGCGCTTATATGACTGAAGCGAGAAGAGAGAAAGGGACGAAAGGCGCGTATTAGCGAGTTCGACTGCTGCGATGGGTTTGATATTAAATTTTTGTAAAAACATACTCATGCGACTTCTCTTCCTAAACATCTGCTTAGAGTTCGACTGCTAGGAGCCTGTGACTTCTCTTCAAGGTAAGTTCTTCTCTTCTTATCTTTTTTTCTGTCTTCTCCTCTTCTTCTTATCTCTATTTTCTCTTCTGCTACTCAACTGCACTGCTGGTGCTGGGTTATTCTTTTTTCTCTTCTCTATTATTTTCTTTAGTTTGCTCTGTTTTTTTCTCTATTCATCAAGAAAAGAAAATTTTGTTTTGTAATTTCTTTGTCTGTTCTAACAAATAATAAATGCCATATTCCACAAATTCTAGAAAGAAATAGGGAAAAAGAGAATTCAAGAGGCCCATAAGTATCAAAATAAAGATAAATACAAGTGCACTAACTTGATATTTTGGTATGATCGTAACAAAGGAGCTTTCAGAGTCTCATTGTGCATACTTTTTCTGCTTTGTAATGTTTTTCGCTGTATTTTGTCTCTGTTCTGCTTTTATCTTTTACTTTTTTTCTGTTTAGTGATGTTTTTGGTTATTTATCAATGCAAATTCAATATATTTTTTTTAATCATTGTATTAAATTGGTTAGGACTCTCTTGCATAATTGATATGGAATTTGGTTATAAACTTTACTACTGCTGAGAGGAAATGTAACACATGGTGTCTGAGAGACTTTGCACTTGTGAGTTGTAATGATTTCAGTTCATATGTCAAACTTGTTCTGAGTAGTGCATTATTGGTCTTGCTGCTTTAAAGGTTTTCACACACATCATGTTTTTTTATCTGGTACTGGAGTTTGTTTGAAGCTTATTAATGACTAAATGGTGAACTTCTTTGTCTGTCTTCAGATGCAGGTTCTCTCAATCAAATAATTGACATTGACTACGATTTGGATGGTCTCCCCGGCTCAATGGAAAGACAACCCCTTTCTACACTTCATAAAATCATGTCTTTCCTCCAAATACCATTTGCGCAAGTCAAACTCATGATAGGCGAGCAAAATCACACGCACATGGTTTAGCGGTTTGCTGTGCTCTGTAATCTTATTCTTCTCCAACACCCTATGTGTCATGCTTCTTTAGCTTAGTAGGACTTTAAACGCGCTATTGTGTGAAAGAAACACAGATGTTTAGGCTTAGCCTCTGTCTCTTTGTGATGATTTAACAAAGTGACCATACCTATTAGTCTTGAACCATCAATTAAGCAATTTCTCTAGTATGTAATAAGAAAGGGACTTGGATATTTGTTGTTTAATTTTATATCGAGAAGTATTTAATTTTCATCTTGATAACATCTTATGTGAGCAAATTAATGATTTATATATAGTGGCATATTGATTGAAGAAACATTAAGCACAGCAACCAACAAAAAATGCACATTTTGAGGGGGATTGTAGCTTTTTATTTTCACTTTTTTTCTCTCTTTGAGTAAATTAGGATATTGCTTTGGACTGATTTTTCTTGAGTCAGGGTTTATCGAAACTAATCTTTCTATATTTAAGCTAGTGTAAGGTTTACATATATTCTATCCTCTTCAGACTCACTTTATGGAATTGGTATGTTGTTGTTTTGATAAAATTAGGGGTAGGAGAAGGGGAAATGGAATTAGGTGATTACAAGGTGGGAAATTGAATCCTACCAATAAGGTGAATGTTTAGGAAGCCAACTAACGGAGTTATTATTCTCCTATATTTAATACCTTAATCTTTAATAAAAGGAAAATTATACATTATTTAGCTTTTGAATGGGAACATAATTCCCTTGATTGTCATTCATTTTAATATCATAGAGATTGGTTAAGAACATATATTAAGTATCATATTTTTATAAGGTTCATAATTGAAATGCTAGATGTACAACTTCTATAAATGACTCATCATTAAATGTTTATCGAAAAACACCTCGATGTTGAGGAGATTAAATATTTGCATCAAATCATTTCTAGGCGTTTGATTATTTTCCTATAAAATTTCATCCAGCTCAGCATATGTAATAACTATATGAGCTGATTCATTAACCTTTTAAAATTGTTTTTTTTTTCACCACTTCCTTTAATTTGCTAAGCTCTCTCCTTCTTCGTCATTTTCAATTATTTTTCTTCATTTATTCTCTTTGTTGCATATTTTCTCCTCGTCTTCATCCTTCTTCATTTATCAATATCTATTTTTTTCTTTGAATCTACAGAAGGATCTTTGATGAAAATAATCGATGTCATATAATCAATCCAAATTCAATGGAGAATCAGGATAGGAATTCATTTTTTTAAATAATGATCCGTAGTTTTATTTAGAAATACTAATCTTTTTAAAATAATTTATTCAAACTTTATCATAGTAAAATTATTTATTGGTATGAAATGTCCCTTATACTTTTTAAACAGAAACAAGGGTGGTTTGATAAATGAAAAAAAGGAGAAATACACTCCCGAATTATCGGAAATGGTATGTCTATACCCTTTGTTATACTTTTAGTACATCAATTCCTTACCGTCCAAATTTTGGAGTGTTTATACCATTTATAATAACGGTGGTACACGTATCTTAATTTTATCATTTGATTCCAAATTTATTAAATTTCTACCAAAATTTAAAAGCTCCACCTTATTTAATTTTTTTAAAAAACCCACTCAAATACATAATATCCACGCCCAAAAATATAACCCAAAACCTCCAAAACCATTCACTCCCAAAAACTCTCTCTGTGATGTTTGTCGGCCTAACAAAATTTTGTACCTGGTATCTTATTTAAAACTCTTAAAAATAATTTTTTTCGGGATCGATACTTAAGTAAGAGCATATTGCATACAACTTATGCATTTATGAAATTAATAATGATCCATAGTTTCATCTAGAAATACTAACACTTTTAATCGAAGAATTTATTCAAATTTTATCGTAGTAAAATCATTTATCTGCATGAAATGTCCCTTATAAGTTTTAAACAAAAAACAAGGGTGGTTTGATAAATTGTATAAGAATATAGAATAGAGTGTATTAATAATAATGTATGTATTAGTTATACAACCTATAATACTAAATATGATGTATTAATTATTAGGGAAAATTACGCGATTAAACAAGCTTATACTAGTTAATTAGTCATTATAGCTATAGTTTATTTTAAATACCATTCGCCACCAAATTTCAGTTACAATTACGTTGCCGACTTTTTCTATCTGTATAAGCGTGTGTATGCCGTCCCTTTTCATATATAGAAATGATTCCTTCTCTTTCTTCATAATCCTTTACCTTATTTTCTCCTTAAATTCCTCAACATAAATTGATTTCAAAATTTGAAAATTTCAATTATTCTCTCTTAAATCGTGCTTCCTGATTTTCAGGGCAACTCTTATACGGTTTAAGTTTTTTTTTTTTAGATGGTTCCATTCTTTTTTTTTTTTAATTTGTATTTGTATATGACTGCAATTTCGTGTAATTTTTCAGATTTATAGTTAGATGCAATTAAAATTATGGATAAACAAACATCCAAAATAGCTATGAGAGATCCTAAGACAAATATAAAAGTATAAATCAGTTGTGAATAATATTTAAATACAAATCAATTGTCACAATTTCTTTCATACAATTACAGTAAAAAATAGCTCATTGATACAAACAATAATTTCACAGAAAAATAAGTTATCAATCAATTATACATATACAAATAGTAATTCCACAAAAAATAGAATTATGTGAATTATACGTATACAAAATATACAAATATAAATCAATTGTCACTTCTAATTTTATACGATTACAAATATAAATAGCTAATTTATAAATACACTAATTCCACATAATCTCATTTTATATATTGACACAAAATCGTAACAAATAAAGAATTAAACCATACTATAACTAATTAAATATTGGAATAGTGAAGAAAATAAATAAGTGTAGTAATATTAGCACATGCGTGTTTTTAAAGCCTTCACTATATACATGTTTCCATTAGAGGGATTTGAGGAAGATGAGTAGCCCAACGTCTATTTTCATGGCTTTTTGGAGCTAAAGGCGATGAGGAGCCCTCTTGCCGTAACTCTCTTCCTTCTCCTCCTCGTTTTTTTTTGTAATGTAATGCCATTACATTGACATATTGAAATTGTTAATTTGATGGTTTGGAGTATGCTTAGTTCTTTATTTGAGGATGCAGCTATTAGGTTGTGAATAAAACCTATTTGGGGGTAACAATAATTTGCTACTTTCTTGGTTAAAAAAAAGGGTTTAAAAGGAGTAATCTTTTTATTGGATTGTTATTTTGGGAAAACTGGTCTAAATATTATTTGTGTAGTTTTACTCACACTTGATAGCAGTTGAAAGGTGAAGGTTTTACGAGTATGGCGTTTTACTGATATTTTGAATATTAAAGATAGATAACAATTAGTGAATGGAGTAGGAGTTGAGATATTCGTGGGGAAAAATGAGTTACACTCCTAAATAGTTCGGAAAATTTTGATGGTGAAAGAATTTCCAAGAATCTTTTCCGCCATTCCACAGCTAACCTAAGTATCATTTTGCTTCCCAGTGTGGCAGGCAAGTGTGGCTTTTGAATTTGGAGAGAAAAATGACTAATTCTATTTCAGATATTCCAAACTTTGTTTCGAATATTCCAGAAAATTTCTAGAAGAATATGAGCAAACCCATGAACTAGATGGGAAAACATAATTCTAATATGGTACGAAACATAAGATCATGTGTTCTACATATACAAACTCAGTTTGCTGCATGGTTAGCAGATTGTATCATTGGAAAAACAAAGAGTAAGAATGTTTAGGCAATAATAGGAAGTGCTACAGAGAGAGCAACTAACTTTGCGTTTAGAGGGAAAGAAATTAGAAAATTGCAAACTCCCAAGCAAGAGACAACTAGACATGTCCATGTTGTTTCGGGTGGAGATCTTCACCCTCAAAATGTTCACTAATAATGTCAAGAACTATGGACACATTCAGAGATATGTTTGATGGGAATCTGTATGCGAAGATTGATCCATTTTTCTTTCCACTCTCATTTCCAGTAGTTTCATTTTGCATAGCCACATGATCCAGTATATTATTGTTTATCCTGAAACAAAGTATAATGCAAGACAGTACAGTTGTAATGACACGCATATGTAAGTCAAATGGCCTTTGAGATGTCACAATGTAATTCTACAATGAGGTCCAGAAAAACTAACAAACTTGTAGGTAAGCACAGAGTGATAGACATCGGAATTGACTTATTAAATGCACCTCAAAAGTAGAATTTGACATATCTAATTCATGGAAATTCCATCCAATAAAACGGAACCATCCCCAAACCCCACACATAGCGGGAGCTTAGTGCACCGAGCTTCCCTGTTGAATCTTATGCATGTATCTCAAAATTCACTTATTGATATGGATTTTCTACAGGAACATTCATTGAGCAAGAGGCGTTATCTTCTGCTATTGGAGGTAGAGACGTCGAGCATTCTGTAGCAGTAGTTGGTGATACAAGCAGCATAGCTCCAAGACCAATCTCATTAGGAGGAATGTATTTGTTCCTTGCATAAATTAGAGTAACATCTTCACCACCGTTTCGTATATTTTCAAATTCTGGTTCCTGTAGAATGTTATAAAGTTGCCTCTGGAGTCTTTCGACAGGTGACAAAATGCGTCGTCTAAGCTTTGATCTCTTTCTTTTTGGGACACTGTTAGGATTCCAGAAAGGATCTTTATCTGCTTCTCCCAACAAAAGGTAAATGTTAGTGCACATAAAACAATGAGGTACTAATACAATAGTTTTATTTTTATTTTGGTCAAGCTAGTATATTTTGTATGGTTAAGGTATAGTTGGACTGCTCAGTTCATATCTTTATTGAAAATCCAAATTACCAGAAATTTGTTAATTTCAGTTCATTGTATAAAGGGAAGTTTGACCCAAAAAAAAAAAAAGTATAAAGGGAAGTTAGTTCTCAAAATTTAGGGGAGACACTATAATTAATGGCCTGCGAGCAAGAAAGAAACCAAAGATTGTACTTGTAGAGAAACATATAGTAATTACATTCCTACGGCTTATTTGGTAAAATCTTGAATGTGATTTGACATTACATAATTTGAACGGCACATCACAGTAATCGGAAAACGGCAAGAATTTCCTGCATAAAAATAAATCCAAGTGTCGTGATTCTTTTGAGTATTAGTTACCACATAAAACAACCACTTGGACAGTGGGAGAATGCTGATAAAATTATCTGTCTCACTGTTAAATTTGTTGTGTAGGATCTGTAGATTCTTCCCCTGTTTTCCGCTCCTTTTTTTTTGGGGGTAGGGGTGATTCAAATTTTTCCATTTCTAATCAATAGAATAAGAGAAGTTTGTAGTTGGAATCTTTTGAATCAGAATAATATGCACTGCAGGATTACTTTTTGGGAAGGTGCATCTACAATGATTTGGTTGCCTAATTTCACCTATCTCATAATTTTCTTTGACTAAGGTCTCGCTTGGTACGAGGAATATGGGATAACTAATCTTGGGGTTAATTTTAGGATGAGCTTATCCCATGTTTAGTTGGGATAAAATCATGGTATAACTTATCCCGAAATTAGCTATACCAGGATTTTAGTGTTATTTTTATCCCACATTGAGGGTGGGATAACAATCCGGGATAACTCGTTCCCCAACCAAACGTGCCCTAAGAATTTTGCGCTTACTATCAAGCAAAACAGAAAAAGAAATTGGCCCCAAATTGAGTAGGAAGATATTAGTTTTCCATTTTTTTATAACCTATACACTTAAGAAAGGATTTGATTCAGAGCATGTATTATATTTGCTGAGACAATTTAAGTGCTCACTATATATGTGAAAGTATTTTACCATTTGTTTCTTCCATCTGCATGCAGATGACCGAGGATGATCCTGCTGAAACTAAGCTTGGTATGTTATTCAGTTCCTCTCCAAGACAAGCTGAAGATCCCTCCGGTCTAGAAACCACTACTCCAACTTCTAGCCTTTGGTCATCACGAGCTACGAGATGCGTCGTCGTCTCAGAAGGTAACTGATAGCTCCGTGTTTCTCTGTTTGCATGTCTGGGAATATAGTTATGTAGTGTCCCTCTAGCGCGCCACCTTGTTCCACAAGCATTGCAGAGCACTGGTTTTTCAGGTGGCCCAGGTCTCCAGTGGGCTGTTTCTGTTTGAGTTCAAAATAATTAGTGTTTAAACTGGGATAAATATGAATAAAAGTCTTACAGGTCAGAAATTAAAGCACAATGATCATTGACAATGAAGATTTTCTGTAAAAGAGGTATTGAATGTATCGCACGAGAATGGAAGTGTCATGAAACTAGAGTATGAATAATATTAGAAACAAGAGGAAATTTCCTTGTGTGAAACATGCATAGACTTTTAGGATGCTTCAACTGTATCTTTACTCACATTTTCATCACCATGTTAAGGAACCATACAAGAAAGTTGAACTTTGAGCATGATGGTAGAAAGATTGAAAAATATTTGCTTGATATGTTGAGGAACCATGCAAAATAGTTAATCTCTCAGCAGACTGCATATTTTTGCTTGCTATATTAAGGAGGAATGTTACCATCAAAACCGACAGTAATTATGGTATAATATTAAACAGGGACTATCTCTTTTTCTAGCGCTCAACAGTAAACCCCCCTCAGCGGTGGATCTGCATGCCACTGCCCTGACCTAAAGAGACCATGTACGATTTCCCACAGAACACCATGTGTCTGTCTTTCTTATTATCCCTAGACTACTCCACCTGGGTAACCCCTCAAGATCCCTACCACCTCTCTTGTTGCTTTCTTGATGCAGTCAATTGTTTTAGCCCACATATTAACTGCGTCCCCACTAGCTCGCTTTCCTTCTTCGTCGTCTTAAACCTCTAATTATTCCTCCTCGTCTAAGCTTTAACTAACGTCTTGTAAGCAACCTTCTTGGTGTTAATTGTTCTTTGGACCTCTTCATTCCACCGCCAATCCCTCTTGTGCCTCTCTGGATAACCCTTCGAGACCCCCTACACCTCTATTGTTGCTTCTCTGATGTAGTTTGTTGTCCTAGCCCATACACTATGTGTGTCCTCACTACTCTCTGAAATCCTCATAACCAATAACTTCTTCCCAATTTCCCAAGTGTTGGGTTGTAATTTCCTCTCTTGATCCAATCCTGTCATAAACCTCTCTCACATTTTCTAAGGAACAAATAATCTATCTGAATCTTAGCCACCACACTACAAAAGGTCACCAAGTGCTCCTCCCTCTTCTAGAAACTGGAATTATCTATGATCAACTCAATAGCTTTGCGAAGTATAAAAGCAAAACTCCTCCATTTCTATCCCCAAAGCTGAAAGTGCCTTGTACATCATCATATTCTCTCATAGTGGTCCCTACGTGACTATTAAAACCCCCTCATAAAATTGGTTTCTCAGTACCCGGGATAACTCTCACGACCTCGTCCAACTCCTCCTAGAACAAAGAAGGTTTTTTTGACCTCCTTGTCCAAACCCGTTTGCTGCACATATGCACTAATTAAGTTAATAGTTAGCCCTCCCAAAGCTAGCTTAATGAACATTAACTTATCATCCATCCTCTTAATCTCTACCGCTTGCTCCTTGAGTTCCTTCTCTACTAAATGCCTACTCTATTTCTACTCCTCAATCTTCTTGAGTACTATAACTTAAATCCATCTACAACCCTCGCCTTGATTCTTACCCTTTTGATGACTTGAACACAAGCTATATTGATCTTCCTCTTCATAAGAATCTTAACTAACTCTATCGACTTCCTCGTCAAAGTCCCTATGTTTCAAGACCCAACTCTCAACCTAGGATCTCCTTTGGTACCCATACCACCCCTGCCCCCCCGCCTCCCGCTGCCAATTAAGTACATGACCATAAAGTACATCATACCCTGATGCCACTAATGCTAGTTGTAGAATAATCAAGTGTGCAATAAACAACAAAAAATGGGCAACCAATAACGACAAATACCCTAAGGGGTTGTTTGGTGTGAAGGATAATACCTAATAGTCCTTCATTCTGAAAAAAAAATAATACCAAATAGTCCTTCATTCTCAAAAAAAAAATAATACCAAATAGTTCTGGGATTAAATTATAGTACCACTTAATTTGTTGTTTGGTTGGCAAGTTCGGGATAACTTATCCCGGGATTAATAATTAGTATCGGGATAAGTTATCCCTCCCCTTGGGTGGTATAGTAATCCCAGGATAACTTATCTTGGGATAAAATAGGTAAATGACAAAAATGTCTCTTTCAACCCTTTTGTTACCTCACTTTTTACATTCATGAAGGGAATTTTTGCAAACAAATAAATTGTTCTTAAAATTTATTATTTTGAAGACAGCAAACCAAACATTCAATAAAAAAATAATCCCATCATAACTAATACCTTCATAATTTATCCCATCATAATTAATCCCATCATAACTTGAATTCAAACCAAACGACCCCTAAATCTTAACATTGAGAGTCACACAATACAATGACGAAAATAAATAGAAGTACTAAACTATAGAAAAGATATTGTTCAAAGTGGGAACCAAAAAATGCAGTAGTATTTGTAAGGGCGCAACAATAAATTCACGAACGCAATATCAGATGAAAGAAATCAGTTTTACAAGCAAGCAACAATAAGGGGTTGCACAATCTGTTAAGGAAAAATCAGATTTAGACAGACGAAACTAGGATTTCTAGAACATGGGTGCACCACTAAAAAAAAGAAGGAAAAAATGTATTGAGTAGGAAGTGATTCCAAGTCCTCTATGTAAATAACTAAACATTTACCCAAGTGCTCCATTTAGCCTTTTTATTGCATGGGTGCCACCACATTATATTATTGGGAGGAGGTTTGGAACACTTTTCGGTCATGATGGGGTTGCACTAGGGATCGACCCTTAGCCTGTTTCTTTTTGCCTTAGTGACGGATGAATTGACACGATATATTCAATGGATGGAATTGTGGTTTGTGCCATTTACACAAGAAATAGTATAGAATAATGAGACACAGGGTGGAGTTAACGAAAAATTATTAGTTTTGAAACAGATCTCAGAGACTAAAGTTTCCAGGTTAAGCAAAACTAAAACAAAGTATTCCGCGTGTAACTTCAATAACACTTGAGGCAGAGGTGGATAGAACTTACGCTTGATGCCACAATGGAGACATGGACCTTGTCTACCCATAAGATCTGATTATGAATTATTCAGTTCAAATCAGGTTGAATTTGCTGCTGCTAAGTTTTAGAGTTCGATTTGCTCTCAAAATCTAAAATGCCTGAGTGAGGTGACGGGTCAGCATATATATAGACAGATAAGAATTTGGTAGACTATAGCTGGTCCTTTTTATGGAAATATATTAATTATGATAGATTTTTCATTAACTTTTATCTATTCTGAATTTTTCTTTTTCCCCTTATGACAGCTCATCAACTTTGATTGCAGTAATTTGTGAACTATTTACACCATTAACTATAGTGAGAGAAGTCTTAGATTCTCTATCAAATGAAAAGGTGGGGATTTGATGCTTGGTCTGGGTGGGGTGAAAGCTGGATTTGGTGAATCTTCATAATTTTTGGCCTTCAATCTAGTGGTCAAGGCTTATTAAACAACAAATCTTAAGTCAAGGAATTGTTAAATAGTTTCAAGATGATAATTCAAATATCTAAGAGTGAGCAAATAAAAGAGTTGTCTAATAATAAGGACGTATAATCTATGTTGCTCGGACTCTTCAAAAATGTCAATGGGTGCGTGTCGGATTCGCCAATAGTAGTTTATTTTTGGAGAATCCGACATGGGTGCAGCATCAAAAGTGAAGAGTCTGCTCAGATCTAGAAAAGAATGACTACATTCAATTTCTTTCCAATAATGTTTTTTTACATCGATTTCCGCTTGCACTAGTACAATAATCAAATCAACCGTTTTGCCTAAATATAAGATGGTCTCATTAATACTATTTTGCAGGTGAGAGTTGAAGTCCATACAGGTGGCTTCCTGACTGTTAATTGGATTAATTTCTTATTTGGTGAGTATGCCTCAACTTGTGAATTAAATGAGAAGATACCGGGATTAACATAGTGCTGGCTATTTCCTTGGAAATTTTCTTCAAGACTTTGGCTCCTTGATTCTGATATGCTGGTGCACCCGAAAACCACAGTACTGTGCGATGTGCAAAAGCTCAAGCTTCTGAAGGCAATGCTGGCCCAGTAAAAAAAGATTTTAAAAAGAACAAACGACGTTTGTTTTCTTATCAGGACAAAATTGTTTTCTAGAAGAACAAACAAATATTTTCAAAAGAAAACAAAACAAAAAAACAAAACTTTTGTCAGTTTTCTCTTACTCAAACCAAAATTGAACCAACTTCTACATTAGCCCCAAATTCTAATTATTATCACTTTGACTCTCTTCTTGTAAATGAATTTACTGTTTCATAACCTTCTTTTCCAGAAAGAAATGAAAAGTAAATCAGTTTCCAAAAACTTCCCGATAGACTGTTTCATCACACCTTAGTGAGTTGCCAAATCATGAATGTTCTCATGTTTTTCTTGGCTGTTTTAATGTCACTTTAAGAGGTCCGTATCTTAACATTAGTCCTGAAAACTAAACTCATAATTTTTTGGTATGTTGATATTGACTCATCTTAAAAAGATTTCCTTGTTCTTGAAATGCAGATATCCTATTATGGTCTTAGCAACCGTTTTATTGTTTAATCGACTCGGTTATGAATGTTTCCCTTTTTTAGGTGAGAGTTTCCCTGCTACTGAGATGCAGCAACGACACTTCTTTTTTCCATCTTACCATGCTTGCGCATTTATATGCCACCATTGACAGAATTTCATGTATATATCCCTTTATGGCATTAGAGGGATTGAGTAAGATGAGGAGCCCAACGTCTATTCAAATAATTTTTTTCCCCTTTTCTTTCTAATCGAAACTTTATTCAAGATTCCGTATTGAAATTCTTTATTTTTTGATTGTAATATTTTGGTCAGTGTTTATTTGTTGGTGTGGATTATGCTAAGTTCTTTATTAGAGGATGCAGCTATTAGGTTGTGAATAAAACCTATTTGGCGGGTAACAATAATTTACTGCTTTCCTAGTTAGAAAAAAAGGGTTTTAGAAGGAGTAATCTTTTCCACCTTCAGTTCCAGTAGTTTCATTTTGCATAGCCACGTGATCCATTATATTATTGTTTTTTCTGAAACAAAGTATAGTGCAAGATATTGAAGTTGTAATGACAAGCATATGTAAGTCAAATGCCCATTGAGATGTCACACATCTAATTCTACCACGAGGTCCAAAAAAACTAACAAACTTGTAGGTAAGCACACAGTGGTAGACATCGGAATTAACATATTAAATGCACCTAAAAAGTATAATTTGACATATCTATTTCATGGAAATTCCATCCAATAAAATAGAGCCTTCCCAGGACCCCCGCACATAGCGGGTGCTTTAGTGCACCGGGCTGCCCTATTGAATCTTATGCATGCACCTCAAAATTCTCTTAGAGATTTAGATTTTCTACAGGAACATTCATTGAGCAACAGGCATTATCTTCTGCCATTGGAGATAAGAGACGTCGAGCGTTCTGTAGTAGTAGTTGGTGATACAAGCAGCATAGCTCCAAGGTCAATCTCATTAGGAATGTATATGTTCCTTGCATAAATGAGAGTAGCATCTTCACCACCGTTTGGTATGTTTTCAAATTCTAGTTCCTGTAGAATATTATAAAGTTGCCTCTGGAGTCTTTCGACAGGTGACAAAATGCGTTGTGTAAGCTCTGATCTCTTTCTTTTTGGGACTCTGTTAGGATTCCAGATAGGGTCTTTGTCTGCTTCTCCCAACAAAAGGTAAATGTTAGTGCACATAAAACAATAAGGTATTAATACATAATTTGACAAGCACATCACAGTAATCGGAAAACGAAAGGAATTTCCTGCATAAAAATAAATTCATGTGTCGTGAATCTTGATACAAGCTTATGAAGTTGTCTTAGAGCTCATTGTGTAAATGATTCTTTTGAATATTAGATGCCAACATATAACAACCACTTGGACAGGGGAAGAAAGAAATTGGCCAAAAATTGAGTAGGAAGATATTAGTTTCCACTTTCTTAATTCTCGTACGCTTAAGAAAGGATTTGATTCAAAACATGCATCATATTTGCTGAGACAAGTTAAGAGCTCTCTATATATGTGAAAGTATTTTACATTTGGTTTTTCCATCTGCATGCAGTTGACTGAGCTTGGTATGTTATTCATTTGCTCTTCAAGACAAGCTGAAGGTCCCTCCTGTCCAGAAACCTCTACTCCAACTTCTAGCTTTTGGTCATCACGAGCTAAGAGACGCGGTTGCATCTCTCAGAAGGTAACTGATAGCTCTGTGTTTCTCTGTTTGCATGTCTGGGAATATAGTTATGTTGTGTCCCCCTAATGCGCCACCTTGTTCCACAAGCATTTCAGAGCACTGGTTTTTCAGGTAGTCCAGGTCTCCAATGGGGGATTTCTTTTTGAGTTCAAAATTAATTGGTGTTTAAACTAAAGCACAATGATCATTGACAATAAAGATTTTCTATAAAAAAAATGCAGAGAATGTATTGCACGAGAACGAAAGTGTCATGAAAGTATGTATAATATTAAAAACAAGAGGAAATTTCCTTGTGTGAAACATGCATTGACTTTAAGGATGCTTCAACTGTTTCTTCACTCACATTTTCATCACCATGCTAAGGAACCATACAAGAAAGTTGAACTTAGCCATAACCACGAGCTTATGTTGGGCCGTAAGATCCAGTCATTGCATAAACCTCTATCAAATTTTCTGAGGAGCAAAGAATATAGCCGAGTCTTAGCCACCACACTACAAAAGGTCCTCCCTCTTCTAGAAACTGGAATCATCTATGATCATCTCGATAGCTTTCGCGAAGTTTAAAAGAAAACTCCTCCATTTCTATCCCTAATGCCGAAAGTGCCTTGTACATCATCATATCCTCTCGAAGTGGTCCCTATGTGACTTCTAAAATCCCCTCATAAAATTAGTTTCTCAGCACGCGGGATAGCTCTCACAACCTAGTCTTACTCCTCCCAGAACAAAGAAGTTTTTTTTGACCTCCTCGTCCAAACCCGTTTACTGCACATATCCCTCCCAAAACTAGCTTAATGAACATTAACTTATCATTCACCCTCCTAATTTCTAACGCTTGCTCCTTGAGTTCCTCGTCTGCTAAAAGCCTACTCTATTTCTACTCCTCGATCTTCTTTACTACCATAACTTAAATCCATCTACATCCCTGACCTTGGTTCCTACCCATTTGGTTTCTTGTACACAAGCTTTATTGATCTTCCTCTTCATAAGAATCTTCACTAACTGTATCGATTTCCTTGTCAATGTCCCTATGTTTCAAGACCCAACTCTCAACCTAGGATCTCTCTAGGTACCCTCACCACCCCTGCCCCCCTCCCCCTCTGCCAATCAAGTACATGACCATAAACTACATCAAACCAGTAACGCCAGTTATAGAGTAATCAAGCGTGCAATAAACAACAAACAATGGGCAACCCATAGCAACAAATACAGTAAACAAGCAAGCAACAATAAGGGGCTGCACAATCTGTTAAGGAAAAATCAGATTTAGACAAACGAATCTAGGATTTCTAGAACATGGGTCCACCACTTAAAAAAGAAGGAAAAAATGTATTGAGTAGCAAGTGATTCTAGGTCCTCTAAGTAAATAACCAAATGTTTAATTAAATGCACCATTTAGGCTTTTTGTTGCATGGGTGCCAACTTATAATAATATTGGGAAGAGGCTTGCAACACTTTTCGGTTATGATGGGGTTGCACTAGAGATCGACCCTTAGCCAGTTCCTTTTTGCCTTAGTGATGGATGAATTGACACGATATATTCAATGAAAGGTATTGTGGTTTTTGCCATTCGCAGATGACATAGTATAGAATAACAAGACACGCGGTGGAGTTAACGAAAAACTGGAAGTTTTGAGACAGGTCTTAGAGAATAATGTTTTCAGGTTAAGCAAAACTAAAACAAAGTATTTCGCGTGTAACTTCAATGACGTAGCACTTGACGAAGAGGTGGAAGTGAGGAACGATTCACAAATCGTATTCAAGACCAAGAGAGGAAACTTCAAGTATCTTTTTTTTGAATTTTTTTTTTTGAAACTAGTAACATTTGTATTTCATTTAGTACTTCTGTAGTACTGAAAAACCATATTTACAAAAGCAGAAAGGAAGTATAATCTATCCAAAAACTGAACCAAATCTAAATGGATCCTAAAACATCTATGATTGACTCAGTTTCATTGGCGTAGACATTTGTACACCAAAAGCAGAACAACAAAATACACTTAAGCTTTACTTCCTGCAAGTCGTTGTTCCTATTCTCAAAACATCTCTCGTTTCTCTCCCTCCATATAGTCCACCAAATACTAGCAGGGATCATCCTCCATCTTTCTCTGTTTGTAGCCCCAACTCCAACCATCTCCCAACTGAATAGAGTCTCATCAATCTTGCTAGGCATACACCAAGATATGCCTCTGAGATTAAGGAAAATCTGCCACAACTGCTCAGTAAAGTTGCAATGTAAGAAGAGATGTCTCACTGTCTCATTAGCCTTACCACATAAGGAACATCTGTTACATAGAGAGATTCCTCTCTTGGCCACATTATCCAATGTCAAAACTGCTTTATTGGCTAGTAGCCATGTAAAGCATGCCACTTTGTGTGGCACTTTGGTCCTCCAGATTTGCTTCCAAGGCCATTTGAAGTCTTGAATGCCACTAGGACTTATCCGTTTGTATCCTTCTTTCACCTTGTAACTACCTTTGTTGTGCCCTTGCCACCATAAATAATCCTCGCCTGTTTGTATACCTTGAAAATTCTCCAGAACCTTAAACAATTCAAGTATTCTGGGATTTTCCCAGTCATGCACGAGGGATTAACTTTTAGCTTGTTTTTATTTGCTTTGGTGATTGATGAATTGACATGGTACTAAGGTGAGGTG